GAATTCCAAAATGGTCTTGGAATGAACATGAATAGACTTGTCGCTTATGCACAAACTTTACTTATTCCTTTTAAAGAAACATAACAATTTTCAATTTCCCTTGTTTGGAAACCCATAAAGCCGTCAAGTTTTATTTTCACCAGATGTGAGCCATGGCATTATTGGATGAACTTGTAATCAGGTTATTTCTGCATGAGGAAATACAATCATTGTCATTTTTCGGATTCGTTCAACCACTGTTTATCACTTGCGCAATTAAAAAGGTCAGATAACCCCTTTTATTACAACCGAAGGGGCGATTTATGGAGCTGCCAACAGTTGGGTCAAAAGTGAAATTCTAAATCAAACGAGGAGATGAGGTTCCATCTCACGAGGTGCCGTTTAAATCCACTTAATTAGTTTTTTTCGAAGTCTTCCGATGAAGTTACACGAAGTTGCGTGAAAATAACAGATTGCAAAAAGGTTCAAGATTAAGTGTGAATTCCATCGAAAAATGCCACTTTGTGAATGAATAGCCAGAAACAACAAAGACTGATTAGCTGCACATATGGATTTGATTATTTTAAAAATTAATTTCTTCTATTTTTAGCAAAAGTTTAATCAAATCAAATTTGAGTTGCAAACCTCGATGCGGTTTAATTTATCCAGGTACAATAGAGACACCAGGAAGTCACAAACGCTCCAACTTTTGCGCAGCTCGTAAAGTATTTAATTTTAGTGTTCCTGAAATACAGTTTTAGAATTTAATATTAGTTATTGTAAAGGTGAATCGCATTATTTTAAAGCTGGTAACCTAAATAATAGTAATTAACTTTTTATGAAGAAAAATTTTAATGGGAAAATAGCGTGATTTGGAAAAGCAGATTAGGTAAAACTTGAAACAAGTGATTTCACAACAGGTCACCAATTGTTCTTCAATGAATGAACAAGGCAACTTGTTAGGCGAAACGCCGTCAGTTCATGAGTGTTGAATGTTTTGGGTAATTTAATCGATGGAATGGTTTTGGGCCGCCAAATTTTGTTAAAAGTACCGTGTTGAGTCGTAGGGTATACTTTGCCAATTGAATTTTTCGTTACTGCGAAGTGTCCTTGATTCGGGAATACTGCGTACATTCCAAAGATGGCTTTTCTTGAATTACTCCACTCGCGATGTCCAGACAAAAAAGTAGATAGTTTTGGTTTTTATAAATGTAATTATCTTTTAATTTCTAACGCAGTAAAGAAATGTTTCTTAATTATTCAGTTGTATAAAATTGTTTTGACAAGAGAAAAAGCTAGTGAGAAATTCAGTAGGCAAGTAGTAGTGAATGCATAATGATTTTGGTGACTTTAACAACAAGCCAACTTAAGAAATGAAATCTTGATCCAGAGCAAAAAAGTGGTAACGGAAATGTCCAGAAGACGGGATTAATGTCTGCAATGCCATGCCAATAAATATTAAATGACGACTTGAATCATATAATTGACAATCAAAGGGTTAACGTGTAGACTTCTAGTCGTAAACGGATTCTATTTATTCAAGAGCTACAAGAATGTTGAGCTCATTGAGTGTTCATTGCGTCCCTCATTCACACCTTCGTTGTCCCTTATTTATGCGAGGACTAATACAAAGTGATGAAATCTTACAGGCTGATTGCTTCAAATTGGGGATTAAAAGTTGTGAGACGTGAAATGGGGAAAGATCGCGCTAGAAACGCCGTGTTTGGTGACTGTGGTGAACATGAATGGACCACACAGAGGTGGCTTTATAAATTGCGTTGTGGAGAAGATGGAATACGGAAGCACTTCCATGGAACGGCACTTGTTGATGTCAATGATGGCGTTCTCAGAGCATGAGTGGGGGTTAATCCTGGAAATGTCATGCCTTGTTAATAAGTTTTACCTTATACCTTAAGCCATTGCAATCCTAGCTTATGACTACCACTGTTTTTGATGATTTTATAGAAGGATTGCTTGGGTTCTTCATTCAAATTTCACATAATGCTGTTCTTTTGTTGAAAGTTGATTGGAATCAAATTAATAACACATCTTTCTAGTATATTTAGGATCTGCATTTATCTCTCTTATACATCCAGTTCTGACGGTGAAATATAGTAAATTGCATGGATTCTTTCTATCTGAGGTACTTCTATTTTTTCATAACACGAATTAGGTCTTGAAGAAATTACCCTTTCTTAAACTCACTTTGTTAAACATATTAGGCACACGAGCACCTTAAAAGATGCACTAGAACTAAAACATTTTAAAAAAAACCTTAAATGTCGTCTTGATATCCAATGCCAACCTTTTCGGTGATTCACTCTTCAAGAAAAACCTGATTTTATACGGCACTTTTTAAACAGTCATCCTAGGGTAATGATTACAAGCTCCACATAAGCGTGTTCTGCATAATAAATTGAAACAAAAATTAAGTATGTTTGTGAACTGCTTTCATTAACATACGTGTTACCTGAGTTTACAGATGGTCTTCGAGTACCTGAGACATACTTAAGTATTCGCTTCAAACATGCACTGATATGACATGAACGCGTGAATATACCTTACGTCATTAATAATAAACAAACCTAACACCTTCGCATTCAAGGTTTGCAAGTGTGCCCCAAAAAGTGTAAAATTTTCGTAGTTAGCAGTAAGAGGTGTCTCAAATTAACTAAAACTAACTCATGCGCAGTGGAATTCCTAATTTTATTTTCACTTGTGGCAAAAAGGGGTAAAATTTTAAAAAAATCTATAAGTTGTGATTTTTTAATTAATTCATTTAGAAATTTATTTTAATGCTGACTGACTCATATCTTTGTTGCGCTAATGTTGTTCTCAGTAAAATGTTCGAGATTGCTATGCTCGGCGATGCCATTCTTAAAGAAGCCTTACTCCTTGCGTGAGCTCAAAAACATGGCCCCATAGTTATATGTGAAATTTTTTAAATGAAGAAAGTAGAACACAATTTTGTCAGCTGCGCACTCAGTGCCTTCCTGCTTATTTTGGAAGATCGCTATATTTGACCTTGATTGATTTTGAAAATTTCGACGATCTTCGATGATCAGTGAGCTTGGATTCGGGTCCTCTTAATAATCCTGCCGCAAACGAAATGTTTTTTTTTATTTCAAGGCACTGCCAAACTTAGACACAGGTTGTCTAGGCAGTTCGTTCCCTTTGCTTACAGCTTGTCTGTCTCGAACGTGTGGTGTAAATTGATGCAAAATCCAAAATACGCCTTTTATGCAAAACAGAGGATGATCTCAAAGTTGTGCAACAAAAATATCATTAAATAAGCTTTTCAAAATGGATTTGTTATAAAACAACAAGCATTCTACTAAATTTTATTTTGCCCAATAACCTTAAAATAATTCAATAAGCGGCAGCGGGATTCCGAGTTTATGCAAAGAGATCTCGAGCATTTCAAAACCATGGTGCACTTATACGGTTTTTCAATGCTTTAAAGGTTTCAAATGCTTAATTTTCCAGAATGACCTCCTTAACTTAATTACACAAAGAGCGTCTACCTCTAGATATCCAATTCAAGTTGGGTTAAATTTTGCAGTCCACTGTTACTCTAGTTTTAAGATTATGGGAAAAGATCTAATTTGATTAAAAACATTATATTAAACCAAACATTATGGCTGGTGAATTCGGAAACACAAAAAGACTGGCCTGATTTTTAAGGTCTTACCCCTTTTTTACTCACCTGGACAGTTTAAAGCTAAAGCGCGGACAAAGCGCGAGGTATCAGAAAGCATCAGGGAACTGCAAAAGCGTTTTTCAATTCTTTTGTTTATGATTCTTCTTAAAGATATGTCCTGATTTATTAATACGCTACCTTTGGCAATGCCTTTGTCGCAGTATTTAATATTTAAGAGCCCGTGACCAAAAAATTATGCTGAAGTGTATACAATCATGAAGTCACTGTCTTAATTTGTTCGGCTACTTCGGCCAAACGCGGAACTAAGAAAATGTCAAATTCATCATGCAGGCGCAATTCTGTTTAAATTCCACATATGTAAACCTGTTTGATAATAAAATTAAATGCCTTAAATATTTGCATGGGCTTTTAAGCTAAATGACTCGTTAATTTATTCACGTTTAGATAATGCCTTTACAAGGCCGCGTTTGAGAGGGACAATTTGTTAGAATATTACACTTGGCCTCGTCTTACATATTTGAATATTTCTTAATGCGATTGTTTGTAATTTTGAAAACTGGTGCCTTTGAACCAAAATCTATTGATTAAGGATTTACATCTAGGGTGGTTTGAATTCTTAGGAAAAATCACATTCAATACCTACATCTAGGCTAATAAAATGATTAATCTAAAATATTAAAAATCATTCCATTATTACAATCATTAGGTTCTTTAAAACACTTTTGGTTGTTACCATCAGTCCTGAGTAACTTTCACATTGACATGCTTAAAGTAACCTCAGGCAGTCGGTAGGATTTTTCATGACAAGTCTTACAGGTCTATTTGATTGTGAAGGTTATTAAGTTTTAGCTAGTTGATAAATTCGTGGAATGTTTTTTTCTTCCTGTACAAAATAAATTTCATGCTGATAAGTTTGAAACCATGATAGTCCATTTGTTCGTGCTTGAAAATGGCATTCAAATTTAGCATTTAAATTTACAATAAATGGAAATATGGATGGAAAGGCTGCATGAAAAACGGCCAAAGGATATTTTAACTTTACACTCCGTAAACACTTCGCAGTACATATACGTGCAAATTACAATAACTGGGTTTATTGGCGTAAGAAGACTTTTATTTCTGCAATTTTTATGCACTAATAATGCCAGCAATTTTTGCATGACTTAGAAATGGTCGGCTTTTGTAGGAACGTACATCCTCGCATATTCTGATCAAATAATATTGACTCACCATTTTTATCTTTTAAAGATGACCAGTGTTCAGGTAAAGCCATGAAATCTTTGATTCTTATTTGAAAATGATTTCTGTTCTAAAGTTGAATGCAGAATGACTTGCATTTATTGTAGCCTTTTACTTGACAATGTCAGGTGTGAAAGCAGATCGTTGTATTGGTACCAAATCGCCAGTTTACTGGCTCATTTTCTTCCTAATTTCAGGGTTGTCGCTCTGTGATCTTTGGATATGCTCTGACGTTCTACTATGCACAGTCTCCACCCTTCACCTATGCGCCATCTCCATTGAGCGATGTCTAGCAGTGAGCAGTCTCGCTTACCTACGACACCGTTCGGCAACCTTGGTCCTTATCATGGTGAGCATCTGTTGGATCCTCGCTACAATGGTCAGTCTGCCCTCGCGTTTCCATGGTAGGCGCCAACTTGAGGTTCCCGATGTGATTTACGGTGGAAAGTGTGAGATCAATATGGAAGAGGGCTACACAATTTACTCAAATCTGCTTGCTTTTGACCTTCCCATGGTCTTTATTGTCATAATGTACGCACGCATTTACTTCACGGCGCGCAAGCATATACGAAAAAAACACTTTACGAAATACCATGTCACCACTACACTAAATGAAGACACCAGGTACAACTCAACGGCGTTTACTGACAGCGGTTACAAGCATCGTCGGTGTTGTTACTGCTGTGGCTACGTCATGGAGACAAAATTTCACAAAAGTGGAACTGTTCTTCGGATAGGCTTGACGCGTTGCTCAGAATTCCGACAGTCCAACTCCTCGCAGAAGCAGACAACCATCACGGAGCCACCAGAAACTGTCGTAGCTGCAGCGGCCAGTGCGATGCAAATAGCGGCAACAGTGATTAGCACCACAAAAGAACCCGTATGGGAAAATGACGAATTCGATGTTTCTGATGACGAGGAGGCACGTCAAGTGGCCACCTTTAGGCCATTCATTTCTACCATTTCTCTTTCAGCTGACAACAACCCACAGACCCAAACAAATTATCAGCCCTTGACTTATGAGGTTATTCGTAATCTTAAAAAACAAAGACTGACAAGTCCTTGCAAAGAGCCAATGCCGCCTGAGGTGAATGGACCTATAAGACGGGAGCTGTCTGTTTATACCAACTGCTCCTCTCTTCAGTATGTAGATGAGAATTCCAAGCAAAACTCCGTTTCCTCCAGCCTTTATTCATCGGTAATGCGCTCAACTGACCAGAACGATAAGGAAAATGCCAGTACTACTGCAGAGAATAGTCTACAAAATTTTGTTCCTTTGTGTGATTACTACAGACAGAGGCGGCAACGCGAGTGGTTGGCACACAGAAAGGTTTTCAGCGAAAAGGCTAGTGAAGTAATGAAACAACTGTCAGTTAACGGCTCTGAGACAATCATTCGGTGTGAGGAGGAGCGGTGCTCTCGCGAGCGCTTGGAACAGAGGCGTGAACGGCGGGCTGTCCGAACTCTGGCAATAATCACGGGCTGTTTTGTTCTTTGCTGGCTTCCCTTTAACATTCACGCACTGCTATCGCCGTTTTTTGGGCGAATCCATCCCCTTGGTGCGTCAGTGTTATTATGGCTGGGATATCTTAATTCTCTTCTAAATCCCATTATTTACACTATATTTTCAAAGGAATTTCGTAGTGCCTTCCGAAGAATTATTTGTCGGGGACCGCGGTTAGATTGCTTCCGATGAGCGGCTACTTTAAGTGACGAAAGCAGACATTCTGCTTTTTCGCTTCGCTGTCTCTTAGACACGCACAATTAAAGCGCGTCTCGGCGCACTGCACGTTCCTCAAGAGTCTCTTCCGCCACTTTCACCCAACCCTTTCTTCCACTCTTCGGTTTAGGAAGATTTCCTTAATTTTTTAGGGCAACAAGATTTAAATTATATGGTATTTACTCATTTTTGAGACCTGTGGTTATTTTATCAATAAAGTTACAAGAAACCCTTGGGAAAATGACGTGTGTGCTACAATGGTCTCTTTTTGGCTTTCGCAACATTATGAGTGGTGTTTGAAGGATATTCATAAGTGCATGTAGTCGAAATGTAATTATTTTTGTGTTTTTCCAAAACAGACGCTTTCTGAGTGCACCGTCTGCATAAATTATTGGTGGTTCTACTTCAGTGAAAAAACGTTGGTCAGGAAAGGTGCACGCTTGGCTGAATGAAATGATAAGGATTGTCAGGTCTTTAACAGGTAGTGATTAGCAAATACGACTACTACATGTTTGCATTCACCTCATGGCTTGAGGCCACCACATTTTGACCAAGATAAGTTGGTTTCCATAAATAATTTGTCCTAAATTATGAGCTGGTTTTTATAATTAATGGGGTGTTGTGGGATTATAAATTGTCGTGGAATTTGTAATGCCGTTTATCACGTCGGGGTCACCAATTGTTGCGGGCCTCAGTGTGTAGTCTTGAAACACGCCGGAGCCACTGAGTTAACTCTGGCCCGATTACGCTTTCCCGCTACTAGCGACAAAGACCACAGAGAACATGAACACAAGCGTTTACTTCAGAGCCCAACCAGGTTGGTGTCGTTGTCATGGCTGGCGTTTGCATGTGTGTATTTATAGCTTAGGTGTGTGCGTCATAGATGAGCTAACAACGAGACCTAGGTGTGAGGATGATCTGGGATAAATGCTAGTGCCAATGAGGGGGACTTGAGGCTCTGCGTGGTTGGCGACATGCTGCGAAAAGGGGGACCCTGTGTCGGAGGCTAGCGTGATCAGATTGGCGAGTAGGAATCAAAGCGATTCACAACAAGGGTTTAGCCTGACAATTGATTTGCTGACGTTGTCAACACATATTTTTAAATTAAAAAATCCACAAATTTATCCAATATTTCAGACCATGTAAAACAGCCTTATTTTAAGAGAGACTAGTTGTCACCAGTGTTAAATCACAAGATTAGACCATAGCATTTTATGGTACGCAAGTTTTGTGGGGCTGGGTTTGGTTACTCGAAAAACGGCGTAAAGTCATTGACAATAATACCTTAGTCACCTGCTAAAACTTTGTCTTTGTACCGAAACAGCACCAATATTAAGCATGCCTTACACAGACCTTCAATGTTTTGAATGCGGTATAAAATAATCGGTTACTTCACAGACAGAAATTGCAGCCTGCTGGTCTCTAGGTTAACGTTGTTTATCGTTACTTGAAGGCCTTACTCACTGATCTGTTAAGAAGCAGTGCGCAATATACTTATTGTTTGGATAATTTTCCTACGTCAGTTCATTTGTCACATTTTTAAGGACCACGTAACGTTCTAGAGACCGTTAATTTATGTTCCTTCAGCTTGGTTCTAGAGACTAAGTATTAATGCTATGTGTTACAGGGCCAGTGGAATTTGGCACTCGTAAAGAATGTTCCGTGGAGAAATAGCGCCTGTCTTAAATGACTGAGGTTCCACCCCCAAGGCCTCTTTGTATGGCGTCACTTCGCGGTCTTCCCTTGCGTGACAATACTTATTATACCTCAGGCCTCACATCAAGCTCAACTGTAGATTTAAACTGCAAATTAATTTAACTAGGGCCTTAGTTACTTTGAAACCCAGTCTTTGCAAAGTTTATTTTTTACTGAATAAAAAACCATTTTTTGTTTCAAAAATGGCCTAAAATCTGAAAAAAAAGACTTCCGACATATATTAATAACGACAGTTTTAGGAACAGCATGCGTAAATTAAGCAAATGATAAGTCTATATTACGTAGCTAAATAGCTCAGCCGTACAACTCGTTTTTTAAGGTTTCATAACTACTAAATAATAAGAAATAAAAGTACGTGGAAGACAATAATCTTCTATACATTTTATTTTTTCGAGCCAAGTTCTAGGGTTACTTATTTTTGACCAAATATTGACAAAATCAGTTGAACACGCCTAATTAACAACTTCATAGAAAAAAGTCATATTGAGATAAAAGAAAGATTTTACGTGAAGATGCAAGACATTTCAAGCGTGAGTTTGGACACACTAGACGTTCCTCTGGCTGGTGGAACCAAACGTCTGTATCTATTATTGTAAAACATCCATAAATAAATGCGCACCATAACATGTTTTTCACCTAGCAAATATTTTTTAACTGAGTGCAACCGTGCACAAAGCCAGTATAATTTGGCCAATTTTCGCAGGTAAAATTTTAAAGTATCTTTAATAGTTTTTGCGACTTACCTCAAGCGAATCCTCATGTTAAGCCACTATTGGCGAAAAATATAATTTCGGCATTCGGACATTTGGTTGTAAATTAATCACAGGTGAGATCCCTCACTTGAACACCATCGGCTTAGGGTAAACCTTTAATATTGTGAAGATGAGAATTTTTTGTTTAAAAGATAATTCACTTTGACTAAAACGGTCATCGAAGGAAAATTAAAGGGTACTGTTAGATCGACCGTGAATTCACACGTACAGGCACTAGCTTGTGTAAATTTGTTGGGGATCCACGGTTCCCCACGATTGGTTTCTGATGCTATTTACATTAATTCACTAACACGTGTTTTGTTATGCTTTTTATCAAGTCAAGGTCAACCCTGACTTGAATTAGTTTCATTTTCACTTTCGATACTTGACTTCTCTGCACGTGGCTGACGTGAATAAGATCTCTACACGAGCTCTGGTCTTGTTCTTCTATTAGCCTGGGAAAGTCGGTTCTAGCTTCAGCAAGGGATCTGGTCCCGTTATTTGAGTGGTTTCTTCTTTGTTACGGGCAAACGTAGCAAAATTATTGGATCAATAGATTAGTTTTGATGCATGCATATCCTGCAGGCCGCATCGACCTCTTTAACCACCTTCTGTTACTCCATCCGTTTCGTCTTCAAAAAAACATATTTCAATGCATGTGAACCACGTGGAACGCGCATCTAGCAGTTCAATAAACAGTCGCCTCAAGTCTTCTCACTCTTATCTCAGATCATTCACCCCAAGACCAAGCCCCAACAGCGCTTTCATCAGCCAGCTTGTTTGCTTTGCACCCCACGAAATATTTTCACTTTTATTATCAATACCCTATTATCAACATTTCCTCTCATTGCCCATTTCCTGAAATATAAAAAAGGCGCAAATTACTTCTGGATTATTAAATTGTTATGAGAGCTTCACAAAAATGAATCACATTCCCGAATTCGCTGGTATCAGTTAAAAATACTGATGTGATGAAAGGTCACACCAACTGATTTTGTATCCCGGCTCTGCTTAACCTGTCGAAAAATTTGTGGTGACAGGTACCTTGGTAATTCGCCACTTACGATAAGCCTTGTGTCTGCTTGACGCTTGTGCGCACGGTCATTCAGCTCGGTGTCTAGCTACTGACAAACCTGAACTCTATTGGTTCAAAACTACCAACACACGTTCTCCCGTGAACGTCAATGCCTCGCACTCATTCGCGAACTTGTACACAAGGCTAGCCGAGCTAAACTTAATGGGCGGCTGTGTGCTCCAACGCCTACCAGTAACCACGATCGCACACTTGGAAAACGAAATACACAAGTGCCATTTCTAACGCAAGTCCCACCTTTCCAGTGACGATACATGACTTCGTGGGGAGATATTTTGTTGCCTACTCTAAAGTCCAAGTATCATGTCAGGATGCGCTGCTTGCATAAGCTCGGGCAACAGTAACTCGACGCAACAGCATTAGTAAACCCTTAGAGTTAATTTTTATACATATAAGTGGTCTAACTGTAGTCTTGCCATCACTAAGATGATAATTGTGTGAGGATGCAAATAAAAGTCACAGATCTCAATGCTACAAAGACAGTTGTTCTCAAGAGTTGCTGGTTTCCTCAGCGTCCCCATCGTCTCTGTTCTTTCCTGAGCATCCACATGCCAAATGTGGCATTAATAAAACGGTGCCTTTGATGTAGGCTTAGGCAGTCTTTCAAAACCTTCATAAAATTATTTTTTAAATTACTACAATGTGGTCGATTCTGTGTCAAAAATAGTTTCAGATTGAGCTCATTGGCTTCAATCTCTTTTTATGTTTAATATTTTTTTTCAAAGTTTTAAATAAATATTGCATCTGACAACAACATGTTTTGCCATTCTTGGCACGGGTAGCATTTTTCAAACATCTGTTTTAGACCCAGATTTGTAGTCTTGCAACCTTACACTTTATGGGACTTCACTAAGCCTATACCATAAAAAGCACAATCATTAGGGGATCAATCCACTAATCCGCATAATTAACGCATTAAGAAATAAATGACGGTTTAACAAGTAACTTTATCCCTTTCTTTCTGAACATCCATAGACTACTGCTTATAAAGCAGTGCCACATACGGCTAGTGCTTGGTGCTATACTTCCTAATTTCTGTCGCAAAATCTATCACATGATGTCTGTGCTGACAAAAACACTGAAATTTCTGGCTTTGAGGGTTACTGGTAGGTCCACGATCTGATTAAATGGGAATAGCTTGAAGTCAAAACGCCTTCTTCATACCCTCAAGCAGCCCCATTTGTAAGTAGAATTTATTGTGCGTCAGGACAAAGCGAACTGTCAAGTGTACGTGTTTTTGGTCCCAGGTAATCGAGATCACTTACTCATTCACCTGTTTTATGGTTATTCGCTTAACCATTCAAGACTACCAAGAGAAATTATGCTACGTTTTGGACATTAGTTGTGGTGTCGTATGTGTTGCGTCTAGGCAGCCACACATTTTAAGCGCACCGTGAAATTACCCAGGCTGAACA